TGAAGCATGTAATAAATGTAGATAATGACAATAAATGTAATAAGGAGGAATTTATCACCCAAATATTTGATGACTTGGGTGATTCTTCTTCGTGACAACAACATGGAATAGTAAAAAGTATTGATGGATAAGGAATCTTTGGATCTTGTAAACAAAGAGTGAATAACGTGTGTTTGAACAAGTTAGTAAGTGAACACGACAAGCTTTTGTATATTCTTTATAGCCAACCCTTTACAATGTGCTCTACTCAAAAAATCAAGATCCCCTTTTGTTCTCTATCTCTTTCTATTTATAAGGGATATTTTCAAGAAATCCTAAAAAGTACAACACAAGGAATATTCAATGGAATATTCCTTATGTCCATTGCAAAACCTATCCTACCGTTACTTCCTTGATCCATCTACTTGACCTCGGCAATAATCCCTCTTAAACCATTTGCATCGATAAATTGTGTAAAGTTGAACATGATACCATTATCCCTGAATACTGCATTGTTTCCAGTATTATTTATCTACATAATTATAACAGCCACTGCACCAACTATAGATAACTATGATGGAGAACCATTTGCTAATAATCAGACAAGAAGGTTATATATATAATTAAAAACCTGGAGCTTGATTTGGATTTAAACAAGACTTAAGAGTCTTTTAATTTGAAGGAGACAAAGTTTAATATAAAGTAGTAGTTCTTTAGCATGCTTCCCACTTGCAAAAGGTCAGCATCTCCTTTAACTTTTTGGAGTTATTCTAAGGGAGTACTCTCTTAGGGAAGTATTTGTTTGAATTTTATTTTTTCCAAGGGGTTCACTTGAATTTTTTCCTCATGGAAATGGAACTATTGCCTAACTACATTTTGTTAAATGTACAACTCTCAATTTGTTGATTTTGTGTAACTATATCATTTAAAAATTCAAAACATCAACAAGCATTTACTTATAATTACTAAATTATGTCCTCGACGTGCACATTCACATTGCAATCTTATTTTTTAGCCAAGCATGTTAAAATTCTTTTTGAAATTGATGGCGATGAGACTTATACTTAGCTTTAGTACCACGCTAAAAAGGGTGACCAATTAATCTAAAAGTTTAAAGTGTCTTGACAGAATATACATATTATTACTTAATTATTTCTTCCGTACGAATGCTATGCTGCAAGCTTGATAATCCAAAAGTGTCTTGCACATTCATCTATGTTTTGCTTATTTCTTGGATGTTCTTCGCGAGTCCTTGGTACTCCTGTTTAAGTGTCCACTCCAGTAAGCGATGCTGTTATTGTGGATTGGGTTTATCGGTCCTGCATTGTTACATGTTGCGGTTATGAGACTAGAGCGGATCTTCTATTGCTTGATATGACCGACTTTAAGGTCTTCCTGGGCATGAACTGGTTATTTCCATATCATGCCATCCTTGATTGCCATGCCAAGACTGTTACCTTGGCGATGCCAAAATTGTCTAGATGAAATGCATCTAACCGGATTATCTCTTTTCTGAAGACTCGACACATAGTCAAAAACAATCATTTGACTCATCTAGCTTATGTTCGGATACTACTGCAGAGACTTCGGCGATTGATTCTCGCCTAGAAAAGGTTTTGCTAGTCAAGAGACAAATAATGTTAGCTAGAGGATAATCTCCAAGCCACTCAGCTTACTGAAGGGATATTGATGGCTATGACTCGTGTTGTCAAATTCGAGAGAAATTGACACTTGGAGTCATACTAAATTATATTCCTAAATTACCAGCCAACTCATCAACAACTTTTGCCAATAGTAACCCAACCCAGTGGCGCCATTTTGAATCTTCTTGATTTTCTTTCTTTATAGGTGGCTTATCAATGGGTAGGTGCTTGGAATTGGGTTCTAGAAATATCTTAATTCATGCCAAAAGTTACATTTATATGACCTACTCCAAATGGTTTTTATATAGTTTAATTTCTGTGTCACTGACGATATTTTTTTCTAACACTATATTAAATCAGATAATAGATAGTTATAAGTAACCGTCCATAAAAATAAGATTAGTAACTTAAACAAAAGGGCAAACTATCTACTAGAATAAATAAATACACTAGCAGTCAATTTGCTTTTGATTTTGGCTTAAATTCTTTGTGTTGTCAATATCTAAATTAAATTCTTAGCAGCATATTCTAGAAAATTCACCAAGAATGTTAAGGAAACAAATGAAAAATTGTGTCGACATTGTTTTCTTATATTTCAAAGGAGGAGATAATTGGTACAAATTGACTGACCCAAAAAAGAAATGTATCTCCTCCTAGACAATTTCATTTTATGGCAGATTTCAATTTTTTAGAGGACCACCTAGGTCTGGCCTCTTTCTTCTGCCATTGTCCTTTTTAGGACAACACCAAATTTTACTGTCACATGAGCTACTACTCTTTTACTCTTGTCTAGTTATTGAGCATTGATAAATATATGGTACACCTCACCTCATGACCTTAAAGAGACAAAATATACAGTTTTCATAAATAGACAAATCCATCTCGTGAGCACTTAGAATAATACCATTAGGTGGTCATTTTCTACTAATCCCCTTTGTAATCTAGTGGTAAGTAGTCTAAATTTTATTCATAGTTGGCAATCTTGAGAAGAGCATATATGTAATCAGCAAGGCCACATTGTGCATATGAAAATTCTTCAGTTGTGCTATAAACGAAGACAATTCGGTAAGACCGTGAGCTTTTGATAAAGGGATCCTCTTTTCTTCAAAAAAAATAAATATATATTTAACATTTTGAACGGTCACACAAAGTGGTGTTTTTTTCCCTTATCCTAACCACTGTCACATTGAAACTTGTTAAGATTTTACTTCCTTGCTCCTCCTCCTCCCCCCACCCCCCACCCCACCCAAAAAAAATTATGCTGATGGATCAAAAATTTACACTGTATTTATTATTCGTGGCTATACTTTTAGCAAATTTACCATTCGTACTTTATATATTTGAATTTTATAGCAAATCTATAAAACAAGAGATTAATTATTTTGAATGAAACATGAGAGAGCTTTGTTGGTTAGAGGGCGCGCTTAGTTAGGGGAAGTCTTGAGTTTGACTCTCAAAAAGAGCATTTATTTTTCTGTATTTTTATATTTCGCCTTAGTTGTATTTAAACGAATACAGTTTGTATACACCTCTGTATACAGTCAATACAAGTTATATCATTTGTATATACTCTTGTATTTCGCCTTGGTTATAGTTGATACATGTTGTATTCATCGCGCAACGAATACAATTGCGCAAATGGATATAGTTGATACAAGTTGTATTCGTTTTGCAAATGAATACAGTTAACACATATTATATTCGTTGCGCATTTGAATACAAGTGATACAAAACTAGTAACAATTGAACAGTAGCTACGAATAGTAATTAGGCAAACTATAGTTACTAGGCTTTAAGCGATAGTGCTTTACGAAAAGTCCTTAAAAAAATAGAAAAGGTGTTATATCATTCTCAAAAGTATAAGTTGGATTGCATATATATATATATATGAAAAATTGACATCCTATAACAACACATAATAGAAGTTGGCAACTTTTTAGCCTTATATTAGGTTTGGCAAAGATAGCCCAAACAATTGGCATTATATAGCCAAATCTTAAAAAAACTACTCTCTTTTATATTCTCTCTCAAAAAAAACTACACGCTTATTTTAGCCTCCCTCCCCCTTTCTTTCCTTGTATTTCTTCTTCTATCTCTTCTCTTTTGCTCTCATAGTTTAGCAAAAATTTATGCAAATTATGCAAAAAAAAAAAATCAATTGGATGAAAAAGTAACGTTGATCTCACATCAGAGAAAATCAAAAGCAAAAACTAAGAGAGAAAAAATATATTTCAACTTTGTTTTTCTTTTCTCTTTTTTTTTTGGTTGGATTGAATGACTGGGTGTGATTGAAATTGATTGAAAATACCTAAATGAGGCTATATATAAAGTTGAGCAAGATTATACATGATTTAGACTGGTTTCAGATAAAAAATAGACCTAATAATCCAACTACGACATGTGTATATCACAATGTATATCAGTGTATATCACATGCAAGTTTTTAAGGATGTCTGTGTATATCACACACAAGATTTTAAGGACATCTGTGTATATCACTTTGTATATCGTGTATACAATACAATTTTTTATGGATGCCCGTGTATATCACATTGTATATCGTATATATAAAACAAATTTTTATGGATATACACAGATACACATAATATAGATGAGATATCACTGATATACATAGAGATATATACATATTACAATAGGGGATACACATGTGGATTTGTCTTGAACTTAAGTTTTCAATCTGAAATGTGTTATACAAAGACAGGAAAATAAACTTTTAATAAATTGTTTTGATATACACATTATTATTATGTTATACACTGTGATATACAAATAATATAATTATTAATTATTGATCAAAAAAGAAAAATAAATGTTTGATATAGCATGTTTAAGCAAGTTCTAAAATATAAAAATAATAAATATAATCGTGAGAATAAATAATATTTTGGTATACAAAGAAAATTGTTTTTTGATATAGACAAAGAAGAAAAATAAATTTATGATATCTATTTTGGTATACGCATGTCCGATGTGCTATACATTGTGATATAAAAATAATATAATATTTTTATTGTGACATACATTGATGTAAATGCAGCAATATATATATATATATNTGTGTTGTTATTGACAAAGAAGAAGAAAAATGTTGTGATATACATATTATTATTGTGATATATATATTTATTGACTATTTAATGCCAATATCTATAACTAGGGCTATTTTCTGTCAATTATATATTCCAAGTTACAAGTGGATCTTATTGGGCCAAATTTTGCGATAGCCCAACTAATTGGCCCAAAGATTTCTCCACTCCTTTTTGTAACGGTTAGTGTACAGTGGAAAATTGAAAAAGGAAAAAGAAAAAACATAAAAGAGCACTTGGACCGTCTTTTGCGTCAATTTCCAAGAACTAGCCGTTGGTCCCTTGTACTTTTCAATTTTCAATAAAACCCTAAATCCATTACTCTCACAAGTCACCAAGAATCAGTAAATTCAACCCAACTTTCTGAGAATCTTAACCTTTTTTCTTCAGATTTTGAATAATGGCATCAAGAACAGCCACCAAGGACATAATCACGCTTCGCGGATCAGCAGCAATTGTCGCTGAATTTTTTGGCTATGCAGCAAATAGGTAAGATTTAAGAAACCCCATTTCGTCAAATCTTTGTCTATGTCGACTTGCACGTTGTTAGTTTAGTAGATAAGTGCGAAAATTCAAATAAATTTTAATTATAGAAAACCCGTAATTTGCCTTGAAAAATTAATTATCAACCTGCATTTGAATGAATAGAGTGCATCGGATATAGTATTCATATGGCAGAACCCAATTAGTTGATTGATTGAAAATGCGTCGTGTTCTTCATTTAGGTGTCTTTTTTCTTTTTCCGGAATGCTGATATTTTTTGGGGGTTTTGATTTGGGGATGGGGGTTTGATAATCTTTAGTTTTAAAAATGGATAGAGACGATTAATATGATGGATCCTAACTCGTTTTTCGCTGGGTATTGTTGATTGATTAATTGATTTAACACAATGCTATGGTGTTTTTTTTAATTATGGTTTTGTTGGAATGTTGATTTTGTTTTTTTTTTCCTTTGGACGGGGGTTGTTTTTTCTAGCATTTTGTACAATAGAGGAGTATATCCTGAAGAAAGTTTTGCGAAGGTGAAGAAATATGGTCTGCAGATGTTGCTTACCCAAGATGAAGGTGTCAAGACCTTCATTTCCAATTTGACTGCCCAACTCTCTGGTAAGTTATAGAATTTTGTCAAAGTTGTGGATTGGTATTTAGGGGTAGGGAAGTGATTATTTTCTCTATGATTGTGATTATGTAGAGTGGTTGGAAGCTGGAAAGCTACAAAGGATGGTTCTTGTGATCATGAGCAAGGCCTCTGGTGAGGTACTAGAGAGGTGGAATTTCAGTGTCGAAACCGATAGCGAGGTTGTTGAGAAAGGGTAAGTTGATCTTCATTTTCTGATCTTTGGTAAATTTTGTGGACTGGTAAAAGTGTATGTTGGAGGCTTCAATGGCGGTAGAAAATATAGAGAACTTCTAATGTTTTTTTTTTGGTTTGAATTTTGTCTTATATAATATGGACTTATATGAACTTTAAATGGAGCAATATGGACAGTGAAGATTCATATAGTCGAGCCCAACTAGTTTGTTGTTTTGGAGAAAGTGTATGTTTGATCCTTCATTAATTAACTTTTATTTGGATCAGTGTTTCAAGGGAGAAAAGTGACAAAGAAATAATGAGGGAAATTCAAGCAATTATGAGGCAAATTATTTCCAGCGTCACTTTTTTGCCTTGCCTTGAGGAACCATGTAAGCATCATTTGTGCTTAGAAATACAATGTCAATGTTTCTTTAGAACTTTCTGGATATAACACAATCCTTGTTTCATTGTGTTTTTTCCATAGGTGTGTTTGATGTGTTAGCATACACTGATACAGATGTTGCAGTTCCATTCACTTGGATTGAGAGTGATCCTAAACTGATTGCAAATCCACATATGGTCAAACTGCATTCATTTGACACCAAGGTAGGAGCAATCTGCTGCTTGATTTTTTGAAGCCTGGATATTTTGGAACACTAATTTGATTTTTGTTTTCTCTATGCAGATTCACAAGGTTGACACTTTGGTTTCATATAAAAATGATGAATGGGATGAGGCTTAGACAATCCTTGTTGTTCTTTAATAAGTTGATGCTGTGTGAATCATTGATTCACATTTTGTATGTTAGATTGTGTAAATCTTGAAATGTCATTTAGTTGTTTCCAAGATCAATTTCTTTGTGTGAAACATCTTTGATGCTAAAGTTCTGAGATTAACAGGGAAAACCAACACTGAGCCCCTCATCTATAAGGTATGTGGTTTTTTTCCCTCTCTCTAGACTGTCGAAAAGAGGAGCGCATTTTAAGGAGTAAATTTCGTACATGGTCCATTTATTACCAAAAGTTACTCTTCTTTCTTTTGTTACACAAAAATTATTGTACTATCAAGAAAGAAGAACATGATTAGGACTTAGGAGGTTTGGCTGGCTGATTTTTTTCATAGGATGCGGCTGGTATTGTGGATTCCAGTCCAGTCATTTAATACACATTTAAAGTTACTAATAAGTACGTACTTTTTTTCAGTTCTTATTTTGGTCCTTTTGTGCCAGTCTGTGATTTTAACCGTTAGTTGTATTTTATTAAGTTGTGGCACCCATGCGTCGAATGGTTCAGCATTTAGCCATCCCATACAACGATTTTTACAAAACAAAAACAAAAGTATGAATCTGCAACTCTGTAGATTGGATATTTGGAAGTATAAACATCGCAAAATAAAGGTGGCATGTCTCGCACTCTCTTTGAGGATATCACTCTTGTAGATTGGATTATGATTCTGGTTGCATGCTTCCGACAGATATGCAGCTCAAAATATGTACTATTATTTGCAATTTGGGGTTGTTTTCTTAATTAAAAATATGCAAGGTTGACACTTCAACTTTTATAAAAATGTACAATAAGGTCTTCAACCTTCTATTTTTTATATGGACCATGGGGATATCGATAACTGCTTGAGTTGCACAAAGACGTTCTTGGTCTGTGGAAATTGAGGATACAATTGGGAGAAGATGATGTCACACGCTCACTTATTTCAGTATAAGAAAATGACCTCACAAAGATTTTATATGTTTCACTTACAGGTTTGCTATATTTATTTTTTATTGATCTCCTATCAAAAAAGATCAACAACAACGGCCCAATATCCACACGTGGGGTCTGAGGATATGTACGCAGACCTTACCCCTACCCCGAGGGGCAGAGAGGCTGTTTCCAGGAGACCCTTGGCTCAAGAAAGCTACAAGAGGCGATATATTAATATCATCAATAGACTCATAATAAAATAACAACAATATAAGAGATACGAAATACGAAATACGAAGTAGATGGATGGTATAGTAAAAACCAGTAGATAAAGCCCTGCATCAGTAGACGACCAGTAGCATCCTCAGACTAACTCCTAACTGGCTAGTCTCACTCTAACCTTAATGCTCGACCTCCACAATTCCCTATCAAGGGCCATGTCCTCAGTAATCCTAAGTCGTGCCATGTCCTGTCTGATCACCTCTCCCCAATACTTCTTAGGTCGCTATCTACCTCTCCCCGTGCCCACCACAGTGCTCACACCTCCTCACCGGTGCATTAGTGCTCTTCCTCTGAATGTGCCCAAACCATCTGAGTCTTGCTTCCCGCATCTTGTCCTCCATGGGGGCCACGCCCACCTTCTCTCGAATATCTTCATTCATAATCTTATCCATCCTTGTATGCCCGCATATCCACCTCAACATCCCCATCTCTGCTACTTTCATCTTCTGGATGTGTGAGTTCTTAACCGGCCAACACTTAGTCCCATACAACATGGCACGCCTATCCATCTATAAAACTTACCTTTTAGTAATGGTGGCACTTTCTTATCACACAGGACTGCCAACACTAACCTCCACTTCATCCACCCCACCCCTATATGGTGTGTGACATCCTTGTCGATCTCCCCACTCCCCTGAATAACTGATCCAAGGTACTTGAAACTACCCCTCTTGGGACTTGAGAGTCAAGTCTCAGTTCCACTCTCGCTTCCGTCGGCTCAACCCCAAATTTGCACTCGAGGTATTCCGTCTTCGTCCTGCTCAACTTGAAACCTTTAGACTCAAGAGCATGTCTCCAAACCTCTAGCCTTTCGTTGACGCTGCCTTGTGTCTCGTCAATTAGAATAATATCATCAGCAAATAGAATGCACCATGACACCTCCCCTTGAATATGATGAGTTCGTGCATCCATCACTAGGGCAAATAGGAATGGGCTAAGCGCAGACCCTTGGTGCAACCCCGTAACAACTGGAAAATGCTCGGAGTCGCCTCCTACTGTCCTAACCCGAGTCTTAGCTTCAACATACATGTCTTTAATCACCCTAATATAGGCAACCAGGACCCTTTTATCCTCTAAGCAGCTCCATAAGACCTCCCTAGAAACCCTGTCGTACGCTTTCTCCAGATCAATAAACACCATGTGTAGATCCTTCTTCCTATCCCTGTATTCCACCATCCTCCTACTAAGGTGGATAGCTTCTGTGGTAGATCGCCCCCGCATGAACCCGAACTGGTTATCTGAAATAGACACCGTCCTTCGCACTCTCATTTCTACCACTCTCTCCCAAACTTGCATGATATGACTCAATAATTTGATACCCCTATAGTTGTTACAGTTCTGGATATCACCTTTGTTCTTATACAACGGGACCATTGTACTCCACCTCCACTCTTCAGACATCCTATTAGTCTTGAATATAACATTAAACAATCCAATAAGCTATTCCAAGTCTGCTCTACCCACACACCTCCAAAGTTCAACCGGAATTTCATCTGCCCCAGTAGCTCTGCCCCTTCTCATCTTACGCATTGCCTCCATTACCTATCAAAAAGATCATATAACTAGTAGAACGTTAAGGGATTACAAAATCTAATTTTTTGCTATTTTTGTGTTGCGTTATCATTTCTAATTAGAAAAGAATGAATTTGATTTCCTACGAACAATTACAAATTTACCTATATGTATTACATTAGAAACTTTTGTACTATTTAGGTTTTAAATTAAAAGTTGATATACAATTTATATTATATACAAATTAGTATTATGATTATCCATTTATGTTAAGAATCAGTTATTTCCCCATCCCTTCTCTCTCTCTCTCTCTCTCTCTCTTCTGTCTCTCTCTCATTCTCTGTACAACAACAACAACAAACCTAATGTAAATAAATGAGGTCTGGAGAGGATAGTGTGTACGCAGACCTTACCCCTATTTCCGATAGACCCTCGGCTCAGGAAACAATAGAGATGATATAAAGTAGCTAAGTAGTAAACAAAGGTAACACCAATGCATTATGGTGACGGGCGTGAATCACACAACAACAACAACAACAAGAAAAACACTACATGTAATAATAAAGAACCATGACTAAGATAATACAAAAATAGTCTTAGTACTACTGGTATGCCTAGGAGGAACACACTACTAACTATAAACCTACAACCTTAATCCTCGACCTCCACACCTTCCTATTATGGGTCATATCCTTGGTAAGCTGAAGCAATGACATGTCCTGACTGCCTAATAACCTCTCTCCAATACTTCTTAGGCCTTCCCCTTCCCCTCCACTGACCCGCCATGGATAACCCCTCACACCTCCTGACTAGTGCATCTATATCTCTCCTCTTCATATGCCCGAACCATCTCAACCTAGATTCCTGCAACTTGTCCTCCATAGATGCCACTCCCACCTTACCCCTAACATCTTCTTTCCTAATTTCAGCTGCTTTTATCTTCTGGACATGGAACTTCTTGACAGGCCAATACTTAGCCCCATACAACATAGTTGATCTAACCACCACTTTGTAGGACTTTTCCTTAAGTTCGGGTGGTACATTCTTATCACACAAAACCCCTAAGGCGAGCTTCCATCTCATTCACCCTGCTCCAATAAGTAACATTCTCATTAATCTCCTCATTACCTTGAATAATGGCCCCAAGATACTTAAAACTATCTCTTTTGGGGATGACTTGAGTACTAATCTTCACTTCTACTCCTTCTTCATGCAACCCATCACTAAACTTGCACTTTAAGTACTCAATTTTTGACCTAGTCAACTTGAAACCTTTAGACTCCAGTTTCTGTATCCAAACTCCCAACCTAGCGTTAACACCGCCTCGCGTCTCGTCAATCACTATATCATAAGCATATAACATACACCATGGTAAGGCCCTTGTATGTGTCGGGTCAGCACATCTAATGCTAAGGCAAACAAAAACGAACTAAGAGTTGATCCTTGGTGCACCCCATCTCCACTGGGAAATGATCTGAGTCTCCTTTCGCAGTCCTTATTTGAGTCTTCACTCCCTCGCACATGTCCTTAATCACCCTAATGTACGCTATCGGGACACCGCTAGCCTCCATACATCTCCATAGGACCTCTATCGGGACTTTATCGTAGGCCTTCTCTAAGTCAATGGATATCATATGCAAGTCTTTCTTCCTCTCCCTATGCTTCTCCACCAATCTCCTCACAAGGTGAATGACTTCTGTAGTAGACCGTCCTGACATAAATTCTAACTGGTTCTCGGAAATAGCAACACTACGTCGCATCCTCCTCTCCACCACCCTCTCCCAAACTTTCATAGTATGACTCAGCAGCTTGATACCCCTATAGTTATTACATTCCTGTATATCACCTTTGTTTTTATACAATGGGACCATCAAACTCCACCGCCAATCTCCATGCATCTTCTTCGTCTTGAAAATGACATTAAACAAACAAGTAAGCCATTTCAAGCCAGCCCGACCCACTTCCTTCCAAAATTCCACTGGGATCTCGTCAGGCCCAGTTGCCTTACCCCTGCTCATCTTTTGCATTGCCCCTTCAACCTCATCGCTCCTAATACGCCTATAATACCTAAAATCCCTCTGACTCCCTGAGTTTTCCAACTCACCTAATACGATGTCCTTGCCCCCTCCCTCGTTTAAGAGTCTATAGAAGTACTCATGCCATTTACTCCTAATACATACCTCTTCCACCAAAACCTTACAATCTCCATCTTTGATGTATCGCACTTGGTCTAGGTCCCGAGCCTTCCTCTCCCTACTCTTGTCTAAATTGTACAACTTCCTATCGCCTCCTTTACCCCCAAGATCCTCATACAATCGCTCAAAAGCTGCAATCTTAGCCACTGTGACTGCCAATTTTACTATTCCTTACCTTCTTATTACATTCCTTACACGTCCTCTTTTCCTCCTCATCTGTACTCCTCACTGGCTTTATATATGCCACTTTCTTAGCTTTCACTTTTCTTTGGACCTCCTCATTCCACCACCAGTCCCCTTTATGACCTCGTGAATAACCCTTCATTATCCCTAACACCTGTCTAACAGCTTCCCTAATGCAGTTCGTTGTCGTGGTCTACATACATCTCGCGTCCCCACTACTCTTTCAGGCCCCCATGGCTAATAGCTTCTCATCCAACCCCTAAGCATTTGCTTTAGCGACTAGCCATCCATCACTCTTTTCTCTGTTCTTTCCCCAATTTTTCTTCCTTCATTTTCTCTGCTTTTTATCCTTTCTTTTTTTTCCCCCAAGGAATTCATCAATGAATTTTAATAGTTTTAACTTAGCAATTTTCTTTCATGCTGCACAATTGGTGTTCGAATTAAAATTATCAATCAATAAATTTTGAATATGTTTGGCTCTCCATCATTGAGAATCATTAAAAAAAACTTCAAAGTTTTGAATTCGAATTTAGGTTTTCAAAAAATATTATTTGTTTGGATTGGGTGTTGTTGTAAACGATTGGGAATATCAATTTTGAGGCTGTTTGGTGAAGATTAGAGTTGATTTTTGTTGGATTTCAGATAAAAATTCGAAGAAATTGTATACATACAAATTGTATTATAGTTGTATATAAATTATATTTAAGTTGTATTCTTTTGTAGTTTCATATTTTTTTATTTGAATGTTGTATGAAAACTAAATATTAGCTGTATACTCTATGAGTCCTTGTATGAAATTTGTATTTAAGTTATAAATACTATCTTTTTACATATAAGTTGTTGATATGTATCAAAATTATATTAAGAGAGGAGTTTTAATTGGAATTTCAGAGAGAAAGAAGAACACACCACATACAAAATATATATAAATCATATACAAAGTACGTACAAAAGACATATTGTATAAAAAATTATATATAAGTTGTGTGATGTTGTAGTTATAGTTAACTGGTAAGAATGATGTATGAAAATTGTAAATAAGTTGTATATTGTATAATTAGTTGTATGAAATTTATTTTTAGTTTGTATGTTATTGTAGATGTATCAAAATTTGCAGTAAAATTTAGTTTTAATTTGTATGCTGTTGTACCATACATTATCTTTTCTTACTCGGTTTTATTAAAGAGAAAAAAAGTAGAGAATGAATTCCAAATCGACTCATATACGCTGATTCATGTTTGTATGAACTGAAAAATCAATGATTCAATTTTGCAGATTGCTTTGCGGCCCTGTAGCATCTAAACAATGACAATAAAAGGGCGGAAAATTAATGAACTCAAACTCTCAACATTCTTGGGTGGAAAGTTAATGAACTCAAACTCTCTAACATTCTTACACGTTGATTCTCACTTTAGTACTACTCCTAATAGAAAGTACAAGTACAATCCTTCGTGGTTTCTAAGATTTTTGTCAATTTTGTAGAGACCTTAGTGGAGACACACTAGTATGGGTGTTTATGGTTCGGTTTGAGTCGATTTTTTCCTAAAAAGAAACCAAATCAAGTAAGTCGGTTTTTTAAATATTGGAATCAAACCAAACCAATTAAGTCAGTCTTTTATCGATTCGTTTTTTCCGGTTATTTATCGATTTTTTCTTAAATATGAAACATATACTACCAAATGTATATTCCAGTGACTACATTTTCAACATAACACTATCAAATCACTTGCTCTTTGAAAAATCTATTATTTACCAAGATATAATGATGATAATTGAATCAAGTAGTGATGAATAATTTAAGTACCCAATTAAAAATCGATTATTTTTAACATGAAATAAATTCTTATACTTGACAAAAGAAAACTACCAATCAAACTATTATGTAAAGGCAAAGAATTAGATCACTAAATAGCAAAGAACTAGACTAAAAATATAAATGACTAATATGTACCATAAAATTTTAGAAACTATATATATATATATATATATATTGTGTGTGTGTAATAATAAATTTAAATAGCTACTTTTATAGTCAGTTTGGTTCGGGTTTTTTTGATTATTTTTTTTATCAAAACCAAAACCAAACCAAATTTGATCGGATTTTAAAATTCAAAACCAAAACCAAATCAAACATAAAAAATATCAATTTTTTTATTAATTTGATTCATTTTTCGATTTGGTTCGATTTTTCGGATTTTCATAAACATGCCTGTACACCCTCGTTGAGGGCAAAAAGCCAAAAGAAGATTACTGCTCGTTTTATCTCTACCTTCATTGGAGTGCTGCTTTATTCAGTCTTCGCACTCACTTCATTGACTCTTCCGTTGCAACCCAAATTCTTTCCTTTGCTTCCCCTTTGCGTGAATCGCGCTTTAATGAAGAAAAACACAACTAGAAGGAGACTTTTTAAAGGAATTATATATGAATTGTAAAGAAATCACGATTATAACGGGTAAATTAAAAATCTAAAATAATGTTGGCAAATAAGTTTGAAATATTATATAGGAACGAAAAAAATCTCATTTATAAATGGACCATAAAATTAATCTTTTCCCCCTAACTTATTTCTAACAGATACTATAATAAAAATTAAAGTAATTGAAAGATGCTTATTATCTCTTGTAATGCTTATTAATGTAACAGATATCTCTTTCTCTCTTGCATGTCTAAAAGTTCTAAATTGATAAAAATTATAGCGGGGAGGCTGTTAAAAAAAAAAGAGAAAAGATGGATCCAAATGATGATTTCGGGGGATTTGAACCCGACGTGAATCGACACGCAACCTTCTGATCTGGAGTTAGACGCGCTACCATTGCGCCACGGATCCTCAGATGTATGGGTGCTCTATATGTTTCACATTTGTTTTTAGCTTCTTTGTTTCAGTCATTTTTTTTTGTTTCCATAAAACTAACTCCCATTAAAACGAGAAATTTTGTGACATATGATGTGGATGAAACACCCCAATGAAATTTCTGGTGACTGATAATTTTGAATTTTACAAAATATAAAGAGACAGCACCCCAATGAAATTTCTGGAGTTTGACAGTTCATCACATTAAGAATTGTCTTTTATCTTTTCTTTTTTTGGGGTGGCAGCTTTTTGGGATCTTTGCTTCGAGTCTTCGACACTATTTTATTGTCTATTTGTTCTTTGTTTGCAAGTCTCAGACATCCGCTGTACTTTTTTCAAATTACGAATGCCATATTTTTTACATGAACAGTCACATCACTTCATTCTTATGGCCAATGACACTATTTCATACTACTATTTAACTCTATACTTCTTAAACCTATAAGCAAAAATCAACCACTTTTATATTCTCTAATTTTCTTTATAAAGAGGAAGAGTATAAGAAAAAGAATCAAGTGTATTGGTATAAGTGATAACTTAGCATGTATATCTAGAAAGAGTGGCACGGTTAAACTTAAAACACTAAGGGGTTGTTTGGTTGGGAAACAAAATTAATTATCTCGAGATTAGTTATTTCGGGATTAGTTATCACAACTTCTCATGATAAAAGAATACTACAATCTTAGCCCCTGTTTGGCCATACATTTTGGCAAGTTTTTTTCAAATTTTTTTTGAAAACATTGTTTGTCCATAGATTAGTGATCTGTTTTTGAAAAATTTCTGAAAATATTTTTTAAGTTTCCAAAATCTAGTTTATGGTAGATTTTAGGTGAAAATCAAGTTCCTACTCACAAAACTTCAAATTTTTTTCAAATATAATGCATGTCCAAACATAATTTCAACTTCCAAAAATTATTTTTTCAAGTTTCAACTCAATCTATGTCTAAACGCTAGCTTAGTACTAATCTCAAAATTAGTTATACCACTATTTTATCCAAATCAAACGTGGAATAAACTCATCTTAAATTTTATCCCAAAATTAATTATCCCTCATCCCTCGTATCAAAGCAGCCCTAACACGTTAGAAGTATATATTTTCGCCAGAAATTTGGTACTTTAACATATAAAATACATTGTGCTTGTCAAGTACGTATAACTGACCGTTGAAGCACAACTATATAACAAACTTGGTATTTTATCAGAAAAGCATCTAGGATAGATTGTCTCAAACCATTTTGTTTTGGGCATTTGCATCTATACCCGTTTTTGTGCCACATTTTAACCTGTGCCCGTTTTGCAAAAAAAAAATTATAAGTGTACCCGCTTTTTCGCATAACTTCAGCATACGGGGTTGAAGTAGCAAAGACAATCACGCAAAACTTCAGCATTCTAGTAGTCGGGCCTAAAGTTTAGCTCTAGAGCTGAAGTTTTTGTGTTGTAAATGGGAAACTTCAGCTCTAGAGCTGAAGTCTTTTTACCACCTATTAATATTACATACTAGAGCTGAAATTTCCAGTTACAATACAAAAAAACTTCAGCTCTAGAGCTGAAGTTTCCAGTTACAACACAAACACTTCATCTTTAGAGCTGAAGTTTTTGGTGTAGTAAATGGGAGACTTCAGTTATTCGAGGTGCTAGGATCGTCAAATATCATGCTTCGGAGAATCATATGGACGTCATTTAAGCAACATGTATTATATACAGTAAATCCTTGGATATTAGCTACCTTTGAGATCGAGGATTTAAGAACTACAGAAACAGACTAAAAGATGACAGTTGGTTGGCATGACATTAACAGAGGGTTGGGAACACATAATCATAAGAGATGACTGTTGCAACGAGGAGTGCGTGCAAATCTCTTCTAGAATAGATTAGAGTTTTCTTGTGGCTTTATAATTCCATCCATGCTACTGAGTAGTTATGGCCTATGGGCCAGTGAAAACCTTGTACTCTTTACGTTCATTATATTGGGGGGTGAGGTTGTGATGGTGATGGAGAAGGAGGAGGAGAAAGGGAGCAGAAGTTATTTAAGAAGTGGGTACAAGTTAAAAGTTTAAAAAAAAAGGGTATAGGTTAAATAGGGGCGACCAAATAGGGCGCCCCATGCAATTTTTACTTTTGTTTTCATTACACTTTAGCATTTTAGATTTTGTTTTCTCTCTCTCTATATATAAGGTGTTCGAGCCTACTTGCGCTACCTTGACTATTCTTTCGGATATCTGCTATGTCCTATCGACACAAACAAAAGTGGCAAACGAGCGGTTTGGGTCGGATATGATTCGGGTCGAAACGGGTAATGAAAAAACGGATAAATTATCCGACGCGACCCATATTTAATACGAATAAAAAATGGGTCAACCGGCAAATAATATGGATAACCATATTATCCATGACTTCTTGCATATGATCACTTTTGGGAGAATTCTTAATCTCCCCAACTTGAGGAACCCCCACTTTGAGGCTTTACAAATATAAAAATTAGACCCATTGGTTATCCATTTAGACCATTTTCTAAATGGATACTATAGTTCTTATCCATATTTGACCCATTTTTAACAAGTTCATTATCCAACTCATTTTTTAGTGGATAATATGGGTGGTTAACGATTTTCTTTTAACCATTTTGCCACCGCAGGCACAAATACTAGATGACTCTAGTCTCAAGGCTTAGGCCAATGGGAGATGTAATGAAAATGAATTCCAGATAACAGCTGAAAGAAAAAGATTATACCATCCGGAGACACTAATATGAACAAGGTTTCATGTTCATTGACTTGTACATTTAAATTGTTCAGTACTATATCACTATATCAGGTTACCATTGCACCATTTACACTTCCAGAACAGCATTATCAACAAACTCTGGTGGCATCGACATCATGTTACTTACAAAGTTGGCAAATGCAGTCACCCCAACGAGCCGTGGATGGACAAGGTATCCCCTATTATCGTCAATTGATACCTCGGTAGACTGCACCAGGGCAAAGCTCATCCAACATATCTACATGCCGATACCCATTGTACTCTCTTAAACATGTCCAGCCTCTGTGGGACAAGAAGTCACGAAAATCATTCGTAGTGTAGAATGTTTTATCCTCGGTGTGCACTGGCAAGTGATCTGCCTCCTCATACATGCAAACTTTTATTGTCAGACCTGTAAACAAGAAAAAAATCAGGCTCTCTTTTTTCTTTTGGTGGAGAGGGTCAGAAAAAGGGGACACCTCATTGTGAAAAAGGCAGCCCGGTGCACTAAGCTCCCGCTATGCGCAAAGCCCAGAGAAGGGCCGTACCACAAGGGTACGCAGTCTTACCCCGCATTTTTGCAAGAAGCTATTTTCACGGCTAGAACCGGTGACCTCCCGGTCACATGACAACAACTTTACTAGTTATGTAAGACCCTCCCCGCCACCTCATTGTGAAGCAATATCTAAATGGACTTGAGATATGTAAGCTGCTTAATCTACATTATGTAAGCGCTAACAGGGCAAATGAAGTAACTTTTACATAAATTTAGTGAGTTAAGACGGTATTATGCTGAATACCCAGGCCAACAGTTATATCTATCATACTTCTAAGCTTAAATATTTTGAGGAGACAATGCCCCTCTTTATCCCCTTTATCTTTTCACGTCCAGTTCAACCTGCTTTTCAGGAGGTTATAACAGACTTAGATCAGGTAGCCCGTACCAAAGACAGAGCAGTTGATGAGGACAAGCCATCCACGCCTTGAGTATGTATATATTATGTGTATGCATATTAAAGCATATATTCACTCATACACATAATAAATCAAAGAAACAGTTCACTATTGTTCTATGAAGTTATTTGGTAGCCAAGTCATTCATTACACTAATAGGTCCCACCGTCAATTGCTAAACCGACAAGGAGTGGAAATGAGGCACTGGCATAGGTATGGGTCCCTTGCCGGCTTGTCCTCTTGCCATCCCTATCAACAGCATTTGTCTTATCTCTAGTCAACTTCTGAAAATGCCAGGTACAATATAATACAGGGCAATACTAGTAATAAATTTGTAGTAGCATGGTATTACCTTCATCAACATGCAAGGTGTAGCTCCCTAGTGGCATATCCCTGTCAAGTGCTCGAACAATATTCTGTTCATCTTCTAACCAAAATGCACGCTCTGTCCTTAACCTAAAAGCAGATTTAATGGCTTGCTTGATGGCATCTGCAGTGCCATCGATACCTATTCTTTTTGTGTAATCACCCCACTTGACAGAAATGACCCTACCTTCCGCTGAGTTACTTTGCTCACCTGGAAAAGAATAGAATAATCGGAAAAGAGCTTGGGAATACAAAATCAACTTCCGAAAGTGTAGGATTATCATGAAAAAGTCACAATTGGAACTCTATGTTTCAAAAATATCAATTGAACAGTCATGGTAACGCTTAACTAAAGCAAGCGGAAATGGTAGATGGCTGGTATAAAAGTATTCAACATCAGGTTATGAGGTGGATGCTATTACAGCAGTACTCCGTCTGCTGCAAACCTGTACAATTGAAGAGAATGCAGGAATTGGGCAGAATGCACCCACCAAAAAAGAACAATTGGAGCATGGGATAATTGCACCTCTAAAATGGCATTTCAGTACCTAGTTTATTTGAAATTCTAAATTCAATCATTTACTTGGGAGTTGGAATGTTTTCTTCATTTTTTGAAGCGGAAAAAGGATGTTTCCTTGAAGACCTACCATTTCCAGGCGTCTCTCTCCAATTCCATGGTGATCCACTTGCAGTGACCGCATCTGCAGCTGTTATAGCAAGAGGATGCCCATCATGATCCAGCTGGCGTTCTAAATTAAGAGTTGGCCTCCCATTCTCTGTACATCAAGAATTTAAAAAGTTGATTCTGCTGCAGAGCTGCCCATAGTAATTCGCAAATGAGTAAATGAGCACGAAAACAACAGGGCTTTGTTTATTATATATATTGTATTTATTATCTATACTTAATATACAAAACATATACCTTTGCCGGCTATAATTTTTTTGGTCGGCTCAAAAATGTAATTATCCCAAAAAAATAAATGATAATAGACAGCACACATCATGCAAAGAAATGAAATAGAAATATCCAGTAGATTCAGAGAATAAATAATAAAACACCTCTTGTGATCACTGACAATCCTAATTCATACCGGGAAGTTCAAGACCAGAGGTAACCAAACTGGAGATCGACAGTTAAGAATTGGAGCTTATGATTCTGATAGATACACCATATTCATCACCCTCTTCTGATGATGCCATAAGTAAAACCTTTTCTAGGTAGAGGATAGTTTTCTTTTGAAGACTCAACTTTTATCCACGTAAACGGAATTATTTCAGCTTCCGCACCTGGCTCCAGATCCAAAAGGGAAGAATCTTTTTATCATCTTAGAAAAGGAATCAAGCAGGGGGCTAAGTTTCATTGATTCATTTATGGGGTACCTATCGGTAGGGATACATGCAGTTTTTTTTACCAATTTAAGCATGTTATGAAGAATCTACATAAAGTACCATACCAAAATAACACTCATTAGAAATGCATATATCAAGACAAAGGAAGGATAGATATAACATAGGTAAGGGATAATAAGTTTCATGTTAACTCACTAAATAATACACTAACCTAAAACTAATGGATAAAATCTTAGAAAAAGAAGCTAGTCCACTAAAAAGCAGTGATGAATAACGTCAAAGTGATTGATTCAGGATTGGTAGGATGAAAGATTTTCATGATTCCTTCTTTTTTGTTTTGGGACAAAGAAAAGATTTTCATGATTCTGGAAAACAGATATAAGAGAGAATTCCTCATATATTGAAAAGCTCCACGCAATCAACTTCCAAAATCATAGGTTCTGCTAAAAGTTATAAAATCATGTGATCAAAACTTGAATAGAATTTATCCAGTAATGAGCACGCGATAAACAACATATAGAAGTAACTTCTCCATCATGACTTGTGGCATCTAAGATGATAATGCATATCAAAAGACAAATTAGTGGCAGCACATGTGCAACCTTTGATGCATTGCCCGATTTTCCACTTCCAAAACCGTGGATAACAAATTACCAATCCATAACATTGTTGATGAGGGTGACTAAAAACATTATTGATTGCAAAGAAATACGACGACTTTGATAATGGAGGACAATGAGGAAGTATTTGAGCACCCAAGGGTGTGGCTTAGCGGTCAATGAATTTGGTGAAAACCATGAAAGAAACGGGTTAAAATCCAAGCATAGACATAAAATACTAGGTGATTTCTTCTTATGCCTTGATGCAAAGAGTTACCCGATTCCTACACTGGCGGGAGGCAGCGGGCAAGCTGGCCAGGGCACTACTGTTATTAAAAAAAAGAGGATTTTTTATGCTCATATATATATATATATATATACATATATGGAGTTCACAAGTTGCAGAAAATCAAATGATGCTCCAAGGTGCTGCATGAAGTCACTTCCTATAACCACTGTTAGGGTGGCAAAAGGGCAGGCCGAATAGGATATGAGCGGATCAAATACGGGTAATTCAAAAGACGGATAAATTATTCGACCCAACCCGTATTTGAGACGGATAAAAAACGGGTTATCCGACGGATAATATGGATATCCATATTATCCATGGATTCTTGAATATGATCACTTGTGAGAGAATTCATAGCCTCCCAAACTTGAGGAACCCCTAATTTGAGGATTTACAAATGTAAAAGTTAAACACATTTATTATCCATTGGTTAACCATTTTCTAAGTGGATAATATGGTTCTTATCCATATTCGACCCGTTTTTAAAAAGTTCATTATCCAACCCATTTTTTAATGGATAATATGAGTGGATAACTGTTCTCTTTTAACCATTTTGCCACCTCTAGCCACTGTGCATTAGCTCCTGAGTTCCAACCCAGCAATCAAACAAGCAAAATTGGAACTATCGAGTGAAAACAAGAAACAATGGTGAATAGAATATCTTCCCAGATATAGGGAATCCATATCTTTATAATGCACTACCGACAAAAGTAGTTAGGAGGGGAAAAAAGGATTCTTATAGACAGCACAAAACCAAAACCAACAATTTTTGCATTAAATGTAAAAACATGAGAAAGCTCCAAAACTTAATGTCTTGTACATATCTAGATTCTAGAACTACAACTATATGGCTTTTTTTTACAAGGTAAGATTATCTGGAATTATACGGCTTCAGATCATATTTGTATCTATTCACGAACTACTGCATTAACTCTCATAAGATAAAGCCAATTCAACCAATATGACCACCCGTTCTGACCAATGAAAGACACAATACAATAGTGTAACGTATAAAGCACCTGGTGCATTTGATCACTAGCACTTTATAGCCAGGTGTGCATGGAGCATGGGCATCGTGTACCTTACCATCAGCAACAGTGGATCTCTCATATAGTAAATTAAATGCATGATATATAGTATGAAGCTAAACTCCCACTTTTTGATATGTACACTTCCCCTGTTCAAGAAATTACCTAACTTGGACATGGATTTTTTGCCTTACCTCTTTGACCATACAGATATGGAAAATATGGTGATATTGACAGTTCTCAAAAAATCCTTTACATCCAGTGCTATCCTCCAGAACCATTGATTTAATATAACTCAATTCATAGATGTTATCTCCCTAATATCCATTTCAGAATAACAATTATTGCATAAGGGCTCATTAGATGCTCTAGTCGGGATCAAGATAACATAGTTTTCGTGATATTTATCATTTATAATTTTTTTAATAACAGTGGTATCCGTGCCAGCTTGCGCGCACATAGACAATTCCACCACGTACCTGGCACCTCCCATCAACATAGGTACCGGGTAACTATGTCACCAAGGCCTAGATGGATAAGAAAAAATTACCTAGTGTTTTTTGCCTCCGCTAAGATTTGAACCTGAGACCTCATAGTTCTCCTCCCACTTCATTGACCACTATGGCACATCCTTGGCTGCATATCATTTATACTTTCTATAAGGAGAAATTAGAGTGATTCCAATTTTATCCTACTTTTCCTAAAATAAACGATTCCACGAGAAAAGTAGGATCAGATTTCTCTATTTTATCCTAAATATGCACCAAGGTGAACTGAGGTAAGGGTTAATATAATCAAACAAAATGTTGATTATGCTTTAGACATCTCAGGCCTAGTCCAATCGGAACAGATAAAAACTTAAAAGAAGAAATGGAGTCAATTTGATCAAAGCAAAATCCACATCAGGAGATTGCCCAAGCATTATTTTAATTTGCGTTCAATAAATTTATTTAGATTATAGCATAAAAAGAGGATATACGATGGCCATAATTAAACACGAACCCTCTAGTAAATGGTACTAGTAATTTTTCGCTAAATTCGGCGATCCATTTATTAACTTACTATTAGGGCTTTTTATTTATATAGTAACTACAATGTAGGGTGTGCTTGGTATGAAGGGAAATATTTTTCTAGAAAATGAATGGTTTTTATCACTTATTTTCCCTTGTTTGGTTGGTGAGCGAAAAACTTTTTCCAGAAAATATTTTTTAGTGTTTGGTTAGAGTATATAAAATACTTTTAGAAAAATAATTTTTTATGCTACTCTCCGTACCTCCCTTCCCCCAAATCCCCATGTTTCCTATGGGGTGGGAATGGTGGGGCAAGAGGGTAGGGGTAGGGGTGGGTGGGGATGTGGGGTAGGTTGGTGGGATTGAAAATAGGGTGTGAAAGGTTGAAAAAGAGTTTTGAAAAATATTTTCCTTTCTCTTGATAGGGAAAATATATTTTCCTCCAATTGGACGAAAATGTTTTCCAAAGCATTTAAGCCAACCAAACATGGAAAAATCGGAAGACATTTTCTGGAACATCAAAAGTAATGTCCTTCAACACCTTTATTTAAATTCTCCCCAAGGATATTGTTTTAATTATCATAATAATGTAGCATGTCTATAACAAAACTTGCTCCTAGCTAATAACATTTTAAGTTAGTTAGCAAGAAATAGCAGAGTTAGGGGGAATCAGAGCCCCATAACTGCTGGTTTTGAATTTAAAAACTACTTCTTGTAAGTCATAACAAGATTGCATACCCCATATACATCTACTTTTTAATTCTTCTTGAATTTAAATTACCTCTTTTGATGTATAACTCACAGCTCCTATTCTCACATCGTGGCTCCAGCACTATATAACAAAGTCCATTTTCATTCACACTCCATTTTTTAACAAACCAGAGCATTTAATGTATTAGGTGATGTTTACGTATACCCCTTCGTGCATATCTCAATTACTCCAGCTATGATATCAAATTCAAAACATTGCCAACTTATAGAATCGATCTACAGAAGCAGGGGAGTAAGACGAACACTCATCCAAAAGTTCTGGAATCTTGTATCAGAAATCGACAAAGACCAATGACGGATGGACATATAAAGGGCAGCCCGGTGCACTAAGCTCCCGCTATGCGCGGGGTCCAGGGAAGGTCAGACCACAAGGGTCTATCATGTGTGTGTATATATATGCCAGACCACAAGGGTCTATCGTGTGTGTGTGCGCTATATATATATATATCGGGAAGCCAGAGGTCATAAGTCAGCAAAATTGTCAAGTCAATCGTAAAGACTAGGAACATGCTAAAACCATCTTAATTAACATACCTTCGACAGGTCCAAATGTTATACTGGTATCGTCAAGACCTGCATTGACAATATCTAGAAGTCAACAGACCACGAAAAGAAATAGAGACAAATCAGTTTAAGAATGTATCAGGGTTATTTACACCCCAAAAGGAAAAATGCACTAAAAGAACAAGAAGCCATCAGTAGGAAAGGTAGATCCTAATGATATAAGTAGAGCTAGTCAAAGGTACCATGTTCAGAGGATTCAAGAAACTAATTCATTTTCTTCTAACAAGGAGAAAAGCATAGTTCCATATCAATAACGGCAAGGATTAAAGGTTCAACATAGCCTCACCTAGCCGCCACTAGTTTAGCCAAAACAAAATTTTACACAAAACATATCAAACATTTTCTGCCAAAATTTTGCTACAGGCTAAAGCAACATTTTTTTTATACCAAATACAACTGCACTAGCTCAATTAAATTGAACATTCAGAAACTTAGCATAAAAAATAACAGCCAATGTAACTCGTCTGAACAATCAAAGTAACACGAAAACCTTGGAAGTCAGTCACCCCGTCATATATCACTGAAACAAAACAAGACCAGCATAATATCCAGATTGAAGACATTTCTTTCATATATAGTAGTTCCCCACCTTCTAAAGCATAGAGATCACCATTTAAAGGACAGAATTATAAAGCAATCAAACTCAATCAAATATCAGCACATAAAATGGTTTCAAGAATTCAAACTTCTATCTTGTAAAACTCCACAAAGCTTTGATAGATAAAAAAAACAACTAAGCCTCAATAAAACATAAGGCGCTGGCTATATGACTCCTCAATTATCCATTCTGCTAAATTTGGACCATTTCATTCCAACACTAGATAAAAACATTTGAAAATAAAGAACTAATAGGGCATACCCTTCTGAGAAAACTGCATAAAGGTATCAACTTTAAGCGTAGGGTTCTTATAATTTTTGTTTCTGGCCTTGAGAATCTCCTCAATCTCCTTATGATAAGACATCTTCGCAGACCCATTTGGTTCTTGATTGTGTTTAGCCTTTTTGAACTCCTTTAACAAGTTCCTCCATTTATCAGTACACATGGTAGGGGACCTATCAAACCCCTTTTCCCTCATCTTCAAGGAGATCTGGTCCCACAAGTGCTTGTTCGATTTTGAAGTGTTGAACAGTGAGTCGAGTTCTCTGCGGAGGCTAATGAGCGCTCGTGTCTCTTCTTGAACCCATGTTTCTGCTCGCTTCTTGGGTGCTAATTTTAAGTTGTTGTTGTTGTTGTCCTCGCCACCGCTGCTGGTCGTGTCGCCACCACTGATTCCGGGAAGGAGAATTTGCTGGGGTTGTTGAAGATGGGCATTGGGGGTGGCCACTTCTATGATCATGTGGTTACTGTGTTGATCCATAGATTCTTGCTCCTCGTACAAGTTGATAGATGTTGGAGGTTTATCAGACATGTAAGATAGAAATAGGTAATACTTGCTTGGACTTTGGGCTTTGCAGTGACTGACGCTAAAAGAAAGAGGCAAAAGTCTCAAATAAAGAGGAAGGGATTTTCTCTTCTTTTCCTATTATTTTTAGGAAAAATTAGGCGACATAGTACTATTCATAGCTATACTTTTAAAAAATTACAATTTATAACTATATTTGTATTTTATAGAAAATTTACCTATGGTACTAAACAAGAAATCTTTTGAACTGAAAATTATAGCATCCGCGTAGGTTTTGAGTTCGACTCTCAACAAAAGTATTATATTTTTCTCTATTTCTATATTTTGTTGGTTACAATCGATACAGGTGTAAATTGAGAGTATTTATTCATGTAATTAGTAGTAGGTCAAATACATAAGTGAACTCTTAAATTTGGCCCTTTTTTTTGTTTAGACACTTGAACTAAACTTTGTTCCTAGTGAACACCTTAACTCAAGTCTAAGCGTATCTATCAGACCCACGTTGCTGACATGTCAAGGTGTGTGTGCTACACTTCGAATGAGCGTGTGATGCCCTCTTTTTCTTATCAATCTTTTTTTCTCTTTCTTCCTCACCCTCTCTCTCCCTACCATCCTCTACTTTCCTTCATTAATCTATCATGTTCTTCAACTAAAACAATCCACTATATTTTTCAAGACTTGATTTTGTCAAGAGCACAAACAAGGAATGAATATTTTTTTGCAACAGCTTAAAAAGCTTGTTATCAAAAAATTTAGAACAAATAACATCAAAATTTAGCTAAGCAGTATCAAGGCCACTAGTAATGAGCCATATATCACAAGCATAAGAGTACAATATTCATCAATAACTTCTCTAAACCTTCATCTAATCCCAAATCTCACGAGTAAGTATTGTCAATTTGCCACCACAAATAGTCAATTAAGGCACAAATGGTAAATTCATGTGTAAGCAAACTTTTAAAACAAATTGTGTAAGAAATATCTCTTTAATTCCCATATATGTTTAATACCCACGTGTTAAATGCCCTCCAAATGGTAAATCCAAACTTTAGTTCTGTCATGTGAATTCGAAACTGTTGCATAAGTAGCGAAATTTGTAGGAAACATGAATATGGTGGAACATTTAATCCACTTCATGGGGTCCAACTGAAAAAAGTAGAAAAATAGGGAATGGGGAGAAAAGAAGAAGAACAGGAGGTGGAAAAGTGAGGGACGTGGGTGGTGGCAAGAAGAACGGGTGGGGCTCGGTGGAAATTAAAAATAAATTGTAAAAGAAAAAGGTTTTCTTTAAATTCCACATGTCACAAAATAATTCGTCTAGTTTTCCATGTAAAGGCGTATGATAACACGCGCATACTCTTTACAGAAGACTGAAAAAAGTGTGTCTAATTGACATATATTTTAGATAGTACAAGTGTTCAATAGGAACAAAGGCTAGTTCAAGTGTCTAAGTAAAAAAAAGGGCCAAGTTTAAGGGTCCACTTATGTATTTGGCCTTAGTAGTAGCTATCACAGGGGTACTTCTTAATTAGGTATTAGCGTTAGTCAATTAGATATTTTCTTTTCCTACCACACGTGTGTATATAAACGAAACATAGCAAATGAATACAAGCTAGTCTTCATTTTCTCATTTTTATTTGTCCAGAAGCTTCTTCTCTTTCACAGCTCAATCTCTCATTTGCCTCTCAAGCTCAATGTGCCATATAAATGGCAGTCTACGCTCATGGTTAATCTCTGAAATTAATATGGTATCAGAGCCAAGTTTTCAATTTTGAATCTAGTTCTCATTCACTCATCGTTCTTCGTTACCCTTTTTTGTTCAATTCAAAATTGCAAATCAAAAGTTTGTGAAATTGCGATATGTTCGAAGTACGTCGAAATTGTTGCTTCGTTTCTTCTCAAATTCATCAATTGATTGCTTATTTCTATATTTTCTTCTCAGCTCATGGCTGGAGATAAGGATGATTCGTGTTCGACTAACCCTAGTTTGGATTCAACCAATCCGTTGTATATGCGGGTATCGAAGAGTGCCGAAGCAAAGTTGGTACCAGTGCATTCGATGGAACTAGTTACAGATCTTGGAGGAGAGGAGTCCTTAGAGCCCTCTCAGTGAAGAACAAAGTCGGCTTCATAACTGGAAAGTGTAAGAAACCAGACTCCAATCACGCAGCTTTCGAATAGTGGGAGAGGTGCGACGACGTGGTGACATCGTAAATCCTGAATTCACTTTCGAAGGATTTACCTGGCAGCTTGCAATATGTCAATAATGCTAAGGAGCTATGATAGAAATTAGAAGATAGGTACGACCAAACGAATGGAGCAAAACTCTATCAACTTCAGAGGAAAATCAATGAATTGAGTCAGGGAGCCCTAGATATTATAGGATATTATACAAAAATGAAAAGATTTTGGGAGGAACTAAACACCTTGAACACACATGCGCAATATAGTTACTAGTGTACTTGTGGTGACAAGGCCAATATGCATAAGGTTGAGCATGATCAGACACTAATCCAGTTTCTAATGGGATTAAATGAGGTATATACAGTTGTGAGGAGAAGTATCTTGATGATGAACCCATTACCTACCATAGCACAAGCTTTTTCCATCTTGATTCAAGAAGAAAAATAGAGAGAGGTTAGGCCGAATAGTCACTTGGTCATGGAATCTGCTTCACTGAACGTCAATGGACCTGTGAACAACACATTCAATACCAATTATGCTCAACAAAGAAACATTGCGGGGAATAATTCATACAGGACTAGTCTTCCACTTAATAGATCTCGGTTGTTCTGCAATTATTACAAGAATACTGGACACACCTGTTAAGCAGAAAAGTAACACACTTTAGGTTATCAAAGCCTTTGTGTGCATGATAGGAAATCAGTTTAATTCTTCCGTTAAGTCCATGCGATCTGACAATGGGATGGAGTTTGTTAACAATGAATGCTCGTTATTTTTTCAACCAAAAGTCATTGTGCACCAAAAGACTTATCTGTATACACCACAACAGAAAACATAAATACTTACTTGAGACTACAAGAGCTTTATTATACCAATCCAAATTACTTATTAAGTATTAGAAAAAGTGCATTCTTACAGCCACCTACTAGATAAATAGACTGGCTTCCATAGTCCTTAACAACAATGTCCTTTTGAGGTCCTGTACAAAAGAAAACCAAAATTTTCACATCTCAAAAACTTTGGATGCTTGTGTTATCCTATTATTCTCAAAGCTCACAAAGATAAGTTTGAACGAAGAACTGGACCTCATATCTTTGTGGGATATCCTTTTGGCGAAAAAGGGTTACAAGGTACTAGATTTGGCCACCAAGAGGATACATAGTTCTAGGGATGTCCAGTTTCATGAACATATTTTTCCTTTTAGTCGGCTTAATTAGTATCCTTTCATTATGTGTTGCGAACACTTTCATTTTGAGCCTCTCATCTTCTCTAGAGAAGCAAAACTCGAATTGATAGAACAGATGGTCCAACTACATAACTTTTTTTTTCATTACTTCCATGGTCGTGCCTTACTTTCTTAAACAAGACATCTGTCCATTCAATCGGAATTTCTATTTCTAGGGGTATACTCCATTTAGTGATATCCCCTGTTGATACCCAATTTTTTTTATATATATTTTTAATACATATATATACTTTCAAATAGCATATGTACATATATAAGCATGTATAAGCATTTTTATAATTTTTTTAATAATTTTTAAAGACTTCAAATTGATTTATTTCCTCTCTTTTTACTCATAAAATTTCCAATAATTATCTTTCAAACTATTTTTTTGTGGTAATTTAGCCATATAAATTTCATATTTATGCCAAAATACTACTTAAATATTTTTAGTGCATTTTATATAATTGTATTTACATTTTTTAGTTAATTTGCATATATTTGCAATACTAGCCCTATTAAAGCATAATTACGTTTTAATACATAAAATAGCCTTTTATATTTTTAAAATTTTAAACAATTATTTTAAATCATTTTAGTACACAAAATTATTTTTTCAGAAATTATTTATTATTTCTTATAAATTATTAGTGTTAAAATGGCTATTTAAAATATGGCCTAATCATATTTCAATTTTAGCCCCAATTCAACCCAATCCAATCCCAATACCCAGCCCAATTTCTGATTAAAATACCCGGCCCACACCCCAAATACCCGATCCGGCCCCCACACCTTTTAATCCCAGCCGTTGATCACAAAGATCAACAACTACCATTTCCCACTTCCTAAATTAAACCAAAGACCCCCAAAACCCTATCATTTTCATTTACACCGCTGCCTTGAAATCCCCTCTGCTCTCAAACACTCTCAACCTAAACCCTAATCTCCAAACGTCGACCCCCTATCTATGGCCATCTCCGGTGACCTCTCACCATCTCTCAGGCCTCCAATGGTTTCTCTCATGTCATTCTTGACATCTCTAAGGCCCTCAAGGGACTAAGGCCATGTCAACTTATATCTAGGGTTCATCTCTCACCTGTTCATGTCCATTCCAATGTGATTTCGAGTGAAATCGTCCTATACTAGCCACGATCTATGGTTTTCTAAACAGGTTTTTTCATCTTTGTATGGTTCTCTTCGAAACCCTAATTCGTTTCTAAAACTCCTAGATATGTAGAAATCTAAAACGATTTGAGTTTGTTCCTTGTGTGTTTTATAATAGCCTTGAGTTTCTTTATAAGAATCGTATGATTTCAAGTGATTTTTCATCTTTTTCTAAAATTAGGGTTTCCGGAATTTCTTTTAAAACTCTGTTTAATGATTTTTTATGTTTAAACTTCTGTTTCTCACATATTTTGACTGATTCTATGAGTCTACTACAACCTTAACTCGTTTGTGCTAAAGCCCTAATTTTTAGGGTTATTCGTTTGGTTTCTGAGTATTAGTATATCTAAATGGTTCTTGCTTTGAGTTCTTGTAACTTTCTTGCCTTAATATGCTTCTACTGAGTTTCTTAGTTTGAGCTTTCACTGATTCTATGTACTTATGTTCATCTTGACTATTCACATCAAGACTTGTATACTTCTCCTTGAATCAGTGTTGTTTAAC